TATAAATCTCACTGTTGTGTGCTCTTAGATGTTCATTAGATCTTCCTGAAAGAGTTTTCATTTGATTGACGATCATAGTATAGCTTTGTGTTTGTGTGACAATGGCAGGAAAAATGGTGCTCGTTCTTGTCGCCATCACTGTGGTGGGATCGATGATCACGGCCAATGCAAGCTACTTCGATGCTTGGGCAGGGCCCGGGTGTAACAATCGGCTGGAGCGCTACAGTGCTTGTGGATGCACCAATGTTGGAGCCTCACGGGCCAGACTGCTGCGGCCTACAACACGGCAAACTGCCAAGGTGTGGCGCAGACACGGTTTAGTGCCTCTGTACGGGACTGCTCGGGCTTTGGATGGAACAGCTTCTTCATCCAGTGCTAAAGAGCTCCATGGTTCAAATAAAATTGCCAAATAAAAGAGAAAAATCTTCCTCTGTAGTAATGTTAGTAGCTCATTAGTTTGGACGTTTGTGGCTCATTGAGCGCCCATAAGATTATTATTTGTATTATTCTATTTTAGATTCGTGATGGATGCCCATGCCATCTGGAACTTTTGCTTTGCTTTTGCTTTCTGTAGTTATTTTCTGCCAATTTAAGATAGTTCACATGTTGAAGCAAAATGTCAGATTCATATACATTAGCAATTCTTCTAATGGTGTTTGCGACATTTCTATTAGTGTCTTTGCAGCAACTGGGCTGTACCAATGGTTTTTGCATACTACAGTAAATGGGCATGTTTTACTATACAGGAACACAAATTGCTCGAGCTTTCAACAGACTAAATTGGCAAAGACCTTTCCACACCACACCTGCCTCTCCCAATTACACTCTTATCCAAAATTACTCTGACTTTGAAACGTAATCAGAAGCTTTATGTTATAAGCTTTTTCAAAAAGAAATTTGTGGCCATGAATGCGATGTTGCACTCGCGAGGGATGCGGCAATGCGCTGCAAGCATACGATTCGCAGCGGCGCAGCGGCCAGGCGCCGGGCATGGGAGCCACTGTCGCAGCGCTGAAACATTGCGTTGCCAGATCGAGAGATATTGGGAGCGGGAGGAGGATTCACTACGATGTTCGGCAGAGGTCGGCAGCTCGGCGCTTTCTCCATCGATCTTGCTGGAGAATATTTTGATGGACTTGTATTTCAAGTGCGGTGGGGGGCTGGGGTGGCTTGGCAGCTCTTCCAAGAACCCCTCTACCAAACG